CACAAGTGGCAGAATGAACAATCCTACATAAATCTGGAGTGCATGCCCGGCGCCCCGGCTCCCGATGCCTCGTCTGTAAAGTGGATGTTACTCCCATCACAGCCAGGTGAGGGCCCTGTGATAAGCTCCTCAGGTGCTGAGAGCTGTGCTGGAGACACTGGGGGGCTTCGGTGGGTGGTGGGAAGAAAGGTTTAAGTGGGAGAGGAGGGGATGAGCGAGGGGAGTGGGGCTGAAGACTAAAATTCATTATATAAACCCATGAAACTGTCAGATAATAATAAAAACGTTAAAGGGGAGCAGCTCCTGAAGTAAAGCAAGGATCCCATAAATGAACCTAGGAGCCTTGGCAGGTTCTCTCCTCCTCATCCTCTCGGCTTCATCCACCTGCGTTAGGTATCAGGGGTCCTCCTTCATTGACTTAGCACCTAAGTTAGGAGTCATGGGCTGCACCTGGCCAGGTGAGGATGAGGCTGTTCAGTGACAGTTCTATGGCTTCCCTGTGGGAGATGTATCTGGCAGAGGGAGGAGTTTCCTGCTAGGTTCTGACAGACAGAGGGGAGGGAACACGTAGGCAGTAGGAAGCAGTGCAGGAGATGGATGGCAGCCAGATGGTAGCCGTGACTAGAGGTGGGGCAGGGGCAGATGGGCAGGGACTTGTGGGTCTGACAGGATCGGACATATCTGGCTATGACGAACACCAGTCTAGTGGAGGATGACCATGATCAAAGTGTTTCAAGGCTAATGTGGTAGTACCTGCCAGTGACCCTCAGTCATGGTGCTATGACTCTCCAGGGTGAGCGCATTTCTTGTGTGATTGATAATACTTGTTTGCAGACAACACCAAAGATGAAGATGAGAAAGAACTTAATACATTAGAAAAGATACAGTGGACCAATGCAAGGAAAATTAAATAATAAAAAATTAAATACATACTGGCAACATTCTCAAGCTAAATTGATAAAAATAAATATCAAATTAATTATTCCCTCTCCGCAAAGACAGGGTTTCTCTGTGTAGTCCTGGATGCCCTGGAACTTACTCTGTAGACCAGGTTGGCCTCAAACTCACAGAGATCTGCCTGCCTCTGACTCTCAAGTGCTGGGATTAAAGGCATGCACCATCGTTACCCAGCCAAATCAATTCTTTACATAAGACCAAATATTAAAATGTAAGGACTGCATACTAAAAGATGGGTCTCTGACCACCAAATCTAGAATTAGATTTCTGCTTTTGTCTAAAGCAAACGTTTAACAGAGATACTGGGAGTCCATGCTTGCTCCCCTCCAGAGCGGTAGAATGTAAAATATTGGCTATTAACCAATTTTAGACAAACGTTCTACAAAGAACAAAGGATGCTGTGTTCCCATCTAGCAGATGGCAATTTATATAATGCTTTACTTTTCTAGGAACAGAAACATACATACACGGTTGGTGGTGACCCTGAGATCACGCACAAAGGAGGAAGACGTTCTCGACTCAAACAGGCTGTCCATCAGGTTGCTTCTCAGTTTTAAAGGAAGGATTTGAAACCCCATCTCTTGTTCTTTCATTAAAAAAAAAAAAAAAAGGCTGCAGGCTGGGTGCTGAAAGGAGCCCTTGGCAGACCACTGCTGGCCAGTGAGGACCATGACTACACTCCAGGTTCCTTTGTCCCACCCAAGACCGCTGAGCCATCATCAGGCTAATCAGGCAAGGGGTGGTCAATAGCTGATATCCCAACTGTGGTCCTGAGACCACAGCCCTTTAGCTCAGGGATTCCTGAACTTACTTTCAGCTTACTCCACACACAACAAAAACAATGACTTTCATTTCAGAAGTGGTCAGTAATAGCTGATTGTATTTAAGAGCTCACCTCAAGAAGATTCTAGAAAGCAATAGAAGAAAAATATTTCTGCTAAGCTTAACTAGATTGTAAAAGTGGCCAATGATCAAACTATTAAAGGACACTCTCTGGAGATTATACTCAACTGTGGCTTTCAAATTCTTTATTTCTTATTGTATTAAAATACTTTTTGATAATTATTAAGCTTGGTATACAAGGATATACTTAAGTGAAATCACTAGCCAACTGGATAAACTTAAAGAGGTGTTTAGTATTAGTTTCCTGATTTGAAAAATATGCCTAAACCTGTCTCATCCCTAAAGGTTTTGCTAGTGGGAGGAAACTAAATAGGCTTTCAAAATAAATTCATGTCTTCTTAGGTCAAGGTAGATGGACTCTGCTGTGTAAAAATGGATGCTGTGGGTATGAGGTTGGCAATGGCAGCAAAGCCATGCATGTGGGATGTGCGCTAAGAACTGGAAAAACTCACTGGGCCAAGATCATTATTCAGCAACACGTGTGGCTATTGAGAGGAAGGCAGTGTTCCCCTGAAAGCTGCTACAAAGACTACTTTATGATCCATAACTGCACACAAATATATCACTGAGATACAAAGCCAGAATTTCATGGCCTGTAGGGAGGCGCTCTGTGTATAATCATTCATTTTGTCATAGAATAAACACTATTCACAAAGTACTCTTCACATAATGACAAACTACAAGCTACCCATAATCCAGAGACTTAGAAATTGAACAGTGGAAACTGATGTGAGCAGATTCCTCACTTTTTCTCCTGGCATGAGTCAAGCTTAAGGCCAAAGTACAGCTTAAGGCCAATAGTTTTCTCCAGTTGGAAACAGCTCAATGCAAATCAGGATGACCTTGCACTGGGCCACAGTTGTATCTTTCACAAAACAAAAGTGCTCATATGTGCTTGCTCATATAATCATAGGTCTTGAAGTCACAAAAAGTAGGGTGAAGGTCACCCCTTAATTTGCAACTTGCATAATTCTTAGTTTCCTCAAACCTAAAATGAGGATAATATTATGGGGTTGTTGTGAGAATTAACTTCAAATCCGTGTAGAATGATATGTATTTCTTAGTACTGTACTAGTTCATAGCTGTTCAAAATATATTGTATCCACTTGACTTCCAAAAACTATTACAGAGTAGCATGGGATTAATGGACTCAACCATAACATATACAAGATTTTAAAGGAAATTCATGGACAATGTTTATTTTTAGTTTTTTTTAATAGCTATTCCTCATTATCTGGATGGGACTGGTTCTAGATGCTTCTAAGATTTAATGCTAAGACTCCAAGTACATGGATGCTGTAGTCTTAATATAAAATGATATGGTATTTCTATAACCCCTCCTGTATAGCTTAAATTGTCTCTACATTATTTATAAAACCAAATAAAACACAAATATCATGTATTGATTAAGAAATTTTTGCTGGGCAGTGGTGGCGCACACCTTTAATCCCAGCACTCGGGAGGCAGAGCCAGGCGGATCTCTGTGAGTTCGAGGCCAGCCTGGGCTACCAAGTGAGTCCCAGGAAAGGCGCAAAGCTACACAGAGAAACCCTGTCCGAAAAACCAAAAAAAAAAAAAAAAAAAAAGAAATTTTTAAGAAGTCTGTACATGTTCAGTATAGATGCAAACGTCACAGGCCTAAGTAAAAAGCATCCGATCTATACCTGTTAAATCTGTGGGCATGCAAACTACAGATACAAAGTGTTGACCCTACTGGAGTATTTTGCTCACTCATTGCTGTTTCGTGTTTACTAAATTATCATTATGCAGTAGCCAGGGAGAAGAAGGAAGAAACATGGAGGACTTTTGGCTGCCTGGAGCCAGTAGACCACCTCTCAGCTGTAAGGGAAGGGTAACAGGCAGCTATCCTCTCTCCTCAGCTGGATGACTATAAAATTTACCCTTCTAACTGGGACACTTCTAGAGTTACAATGGGCTCAAACAGGGCTGTACATTCCTTCCAAACGTCAGGCTTACTTTTGTGACTATTGTTACTTTAAAGCTATGTCTGATGTCTTAATGAGGAACAAATTGCAAAATAAGATTTCATCCAAACAACCAATTTAAAACTTTTTGTGTTCTTTAGAGGCATGCCAAAGGTCATTTCAATTTTGAGACATAATAATTTTAATAATATACCACAATAGAGAAGTTGTATTTTCATTGCTGGTTTGGTGTGTGTGTGTGTGTGTGTGTGTGTGTGTGTGTGTATGATCCAGAAACTTTGTAAAGGGGCTGATAGTAAATAGTTTAGCTTTAGTGAGCTATGTGGTCTTTGTCACAGGCACATAATTCTGTCATTTTAGAAAAAAATCAGCAACAGACAATATGTAAAAAGGATAGGTAGGTCTGTGTTCCAATAAAACTTTATTTACAAAAAGGCAGGAGGTTAGGTTTAGCTGTCATGCTGCAGTTTGTCATCTCTTGATTTAAAACTATGGTTTTCAGACTTTTAGAATTCATATGATCAGGAAAAATTTTAAAAATTTGAAATTGGCCCAAGATTTCTAATTTAGATGAACTCAGTAAGGATGTTCTTAAAAAGTTTATATATATATATATAAACTTTATATATATATATATATATATATATATATATGTATGTATATATGGGTATGACATTGGAGGGGGCCATATTGAGGGGCCATTGGATGTTGGGGAGGAAAAATGGGGGATAAATATGATCATATTTCATTTTATATATATATATATATATATATATATATATATATATATATTTCTCAAAACAAAGAAGAACCCCCCCTCCTAAAAACCAACCATTAGAATTTTAAATCAAAATTAGAAAGGGCATAAATTCAGAACCATTTTATCTTTATGGAAAACCTACCATAGTGTCTTTAGTTGAAAATGGTTTCCTGCTTGGTGACAATTTGTCAGGAATATGCTCAGGTCCACAGATGGATGGTATGTGCTTTTGGAGAATACTGGGCTATCTCATGGTAGAAAGAACATGGTATTTACAATGAAAAGGCCTAAGTTTGAGGAAGGTTGGAGAAGCACTAAGAAGGGAGAGATAGCAGAGCTTAGGTATGCCTTCAAGTTATTCTGAAATAGTGTTCTTTTGTCTTGAATCACTGCTACCAAGAAAAACTGCATTTGGAAGTAACTTCAGGACTCACCAGCTGCCATTGCGCAGGGTACCAGGCTGGGGGGCAATTGAAGCGGTTGCAGGCTTGTACTGTGCTTGGTTTGGGGTGGTGACACAGCTCATCAGCCAGGACAACCACTTCGTTCATCTCTCTTGAAAGTAGGTGGGAGCAGACAACATCCCTGGTCTGCAGGCCAACCCCACAGGTGAGACTACATGGGCTCCACTTGCCAATTTCCCACCTGGGAAGAAATGATAGGAAAGAGCCTTGTTGAGTTCCTGTACAAATACTTCACAGGCAATCAAAACCCCACACTGGGCATGGGGAAGGTTCTCCAAGACGTTTGGTTAGGGATTGGGTCCTGAGTTCCAAACTCAACCATCCCTTTCATGCTTAGAGCTCATTTAGAATAAAGGAAAGAAGCCCACAGGCCAGGCAATATTTATTTACAAAATCACTAGTAAAGGTTGTAACTGTGTCTATTTCGACAGAACATAAAAACCTCATCAGAACAGGTGGGGGAGGAATGCTAGATGAGGGGTAAGCTATATACATAAAGGATTTAGGAATCGTATTTTCAATAGTGGCTAGCAAGGATAGAAAACCCTCTGCTGCTCATTTCTCTAGCCCCCAATACGTGGGAGATGGAAACATTTGTGCTTCTTTTTCTTTGGCTTCAAAGTGAAAGGTCACTGACTCCAACTTCCTTTAAACTTCCATCATAGCACAGAGATGTCTCTGTCTTGTGTATAAATATCATCACTGCCTGGGGCTGGACAATGTAACAGAAGCAGAGGCTGCAAAATAGATCAGTCTTTTTGAAGAGGAGTAAGGAGCGAGGGGCTCATTATCTGGACGTAGACGTCAAATACACAGATGAGCCGAGTGCATGAATGGCCGGTTCCAAGCGGCCATGCCCTGAGAAGTACGTTTATGGTGAGCTAAGGGCCTATAAAACCAACCCCACTGCATTTCCCTGTCGATTAGTCCCCCCAAAATTCCAACAATAAGGACAAAGTTCAGTTGCCTGGACTCTGACTCAGAGGTGTTCTCTAATGGTCAGCTTTAGGTCTTCTGTTCACAATCTGAGACACACAGGTTCTATAAATGAGTGCCAGCCGTGGAAAACACAGTGGGGCATCCTTCAGTAGCTAGGCCTGTCAAGGTTCTCCAGTGAGCCCAGAAAATTGTTTCAAAAATTGTTAGCCTTAATGATTTTCACTAGATCACAACACTGAGTAGAAGCGCCCATTTTTCTTGATATTCTAACCTCCCACCTACTTCCTTTCTTCCCTTCATCAACACTATGATGAACAATAACTACAATCAACTCCTTTGTTATTTCCATTTATCCCCCATGGCCCTCTAGTACCATCTTTTTTTTTTTTTTTTCAAACTGAACCTGGGTCTTGGAATAGTTTTTGCCCTTTCTTCCTGTTTCAGAATGTCTTCTATTTCTATGATGTATGCATTTATATCTGCTCCAGGCATGGGTCATTTTTCTCAACTGGATTATAAGTTTTCTGCCTTTCAAGGGCCCTGTTACAGTGTCTATCACTTCAGTTAGAGTCTGTGTTGGAGTGTGGTTTACACCACTCACAGAGTCCACTGGAGCTCCATCTAGGTGGTTCGTGGAGATGCCTAATAAATTCCTGATACATTGGCAGAAGGAAGGAATCTACCATTATAGAAGGCAAGTAAACCTATCATATTTAGTTACCTTCAGAAAGATATGTTTCATTGATTTCCCTAATTTTATAGTTGAAGGAAATTGAGAACTGACATGGCTGAAGTACTCAAGTACTTGTAGTTAAGTAGTAAATCCAGGATTCAAACCTACTTGGCGATAACTGACACCAAAGCCTTTGTATTTCCTATTTGTATAATGCTGTCTCCAGGAAATATCTCAAAAATCTCCTGTAACCATTCACAAAATTTTAAATAGAATGGGTGGGCTGAACATATATCTTATGGATGCTTATTTGAATGTCTATAAATGTTTTATTTATGGGCCCCCAGCACAATCAAGTCCTAGCTTTAAAATATGTGGGCTTGAGATGAGTGTGTACATCCTTTACGACTCTTTCCTTCCAAGCTGGATTCCTGAGTAGGGCTGGACTTAGAGACTCACTTCCCATGAGCAGAATGAAGCAAAAGTGAGACTGTGTGACTTTATGGGCTAGATCATCCAGGGGGTAGTTTCCACTTCTGCTCTGTCTGGTGGCTTCCTCGTGGTGAGGAAGGAAGCCACCATGTCATGAGCACAGTCTTGAGGAGAGATCCTGCAGCTGAAGAACTGCAGTATCTTGCCACAGCTACCACCCACTTGCCACTCATCTATGAGAAGTGCCTTATAAGCACATGACCCTGACCCAGGCCAGCTTCAGATGACCTTAGCCTCAGACAGGGGCTGAGCCAGGTCCACCTCTCCAGACTGCTTCCAAATTCCTTATTCAAGTAAGCAATCAGAGATAACAACTATTTAGTCTTGCAAACTGCTAGGTTGGGGTGGGGGGTGCAGTTGTTAAATAACAAAAGATAATTATATATAAGTATCTATCCCTCCCCAATGTACATCTGTTCACCCAAAGAATGTTCATAGAAGTGCCATGCTTAGTAGCCCAGACTGGGAAGCACTTAAAAGTTTATCAGCAGGTGAATAAATAGTCATAAAACAACGACAATGAACTCTAGCAACAAGCAACACCATTGCCAAGTCTCACAAACATGAAAATAAGGGAGTGAGGCCCCAAGCACAAAGCTTCACACTGTTTAGTTTCACTTACACAAGCTCAAACTTCAAAGTCTATGGTATTACAAGTCAGAAGGGGGTCACCATTGGTGGGTGGGAACCCGAGAGGAGTGTGTGGGCCTTCTGGATGGTGTTGCGATCTCAATGCTGGACCTGGCTCCTCCTTCTGAAAAGGTTCACTGGACCAAGCTGAACACTTGGGATTTGTGCACATTTTCCTGTGTATGTTCAGAAAAGGCATCGCCCCACCCCCAGTCTTTAAGTGAAATGCTTAAGTGTGGGCATAAGGCAAAATCCACTCTCCATGTATCTCATAAAGGAATTGTCTCTGTAGTCAATGCTGTCCCGAGGTTAAAGCTTGTCAGGCCCAGGCTTTGTACCCTCGTCCCCTGCTCTTGCTTCACTCCTGGCAGAAACTCAACAACTAGGTCCTTGAAGCAGAGGCATTTTGGCAGCTGGGAGGGCAGCTGAATGCTGCTGGAGAAACACCGCTTGCCCAATAAAGCACATTATACATTCTCCAGGAAGGAGGTCAGCAGAAGCTATCTGTGTAGTAAGCACTTGGCTGTTTCTGGGTCAAAAATATTTTAGTCAACTTTGGCCAAAAAAGGGAGGAAGCACAGACTCTCCCCTGCTTCTTCTCTTCTACACAGAGGCTGTAATTGTGGGCTGCAGATCTGGCAGGCTGATGATAACCCTTGAGCCTTATGCCTTTGGCCATTTCCAAGAGAGGGGCTCCTCCAGTAGAAGCTAGCTGGGGCATGATTAGCTATGGCTGACAGTGTGGGGGACACTGTAGGCCTCCATTGGGGTGTTGGGTCCAGCCTGGCATAAGCCTAGTACTGAGGAGGTCAGAGCTGAACTCTGGACATGAGCCTCTTCTATCCCTTTCTTGGGTGAATTTGCTCATCTGTTCATCTCCATTTACAATGTCACTTCTTCCACTGAGTGAAATTCTCCATCCATACAGTCTCTTAATACTCTCTTCTTTGGAGATTCAACATACTTATAATAATTTCACCACCTCAACTCAGCTGTTGTCTTGAATAGAGCATGTGGCTGTGTCTAATTTGTTTAGTCAGTTGTTCTACATGGAATTGCATCTCCCCAACAGATATATTGGGGTTCTAACCCACAGCAGGACAGAGTATGATGCTAGGTTGGAAAGGCTCATTGTAGACGTAAATACTTCAGATGGCCCATGCTAGATGCAGTAGTTTCTTCTCTTGCTGCCTTGACTTGACTAGATACCTGATAGGAGCAAGTTAAGGCAGGAGAGGTTTATTTTGGCTCACGGTTTCATGAGATACGGTTCATTTGGGTGGGGAAGACATGCTGGAGTTCACAAAGCTGTGAGCGTGCAGCTGGGGGTGTCTTTCACCTGCAGACTGGAGGCAGACAGCTGAGACCAGAAGTGAGGCTGGACTATAATCCTCAAGGCACACCTCTAGTGGCCTTATGTTTGAAAGGTTCTATAATGCCACTCGCTGGGGACCACCTGAGCCTGTGGGGGAACATTCCAGTTAAACCACCATGCATATAGCAGTTTCTGTCCAGGTTAAAGCCTTCTTTCTCAGAGGGAAACTTGGGGAGGGGGTGAAACAGCAGGATTTTAAGGCAGGATGTTTACAGAGAGGTGAAACACTCCATCTGCTGCAGGGGAGCTCCTTAGGGCAGGAAGTAAACAACTCAAAACAGCTCCGGAAAGTCCCAGAAGCAGACCGGATTCATTATGCTCCTCCCTCCCCAGGCTTATAGAAAGTGCTAAGAACTGCTAAGAGCTACTCTCAGACAAGCCAAGTTGTAAAGAAGACTCTCAGACAAACCCAGATGCCAGGAAGCAGCAGAGACCAGCTGAACTGCCCAGAAGAAAAAGAGGGTGGCTAAGCGGAGCGGAAGAGGCTCAGACAAACGGAGCCAGGTGGAAAGGCCGCCCTCCAACTTGGTCAGCTGCCTGCAGGCGGTGCAGTGTGCTCCAGGTTTCTAGCCTTTGTGTGATGTCACCCATGCTGGGGTGGGCTTTGGTGATGTAGCTCTCTGAGTCATTTCTGCTCCTGTAAATAACTTGTCACACATCTTCCTATAAATAACCCACGTAAAACTCATTGATTCACTAAATTGGGCTTTGATGGTGTCTGTGCTTTGGGCTGTCATCAGTTCCCTATCTGGGGTGAGTAGATGTCGGTTCACATCTCTCCAGGAAGACTGTCTCACAACAAAACCATCCCTCTAGAGCAGGGTACACAGTTATCTAGTGTCATTGGATTCCATGGGATGGCAGAGGCAGAGGAGGGAATCATGAAGCTGCAAGCAGACAGTGTAGGAAATTGCCAGCAAGGAGCTTGATGAGGTAGACTGGCACCTTCATTTACATTTGAGCTTAGCTTCCAAAGGGTGGCGATACATTTCTGCTGCTGTAAGCCTCTTCTTTCTTTCTCACACTTTATAGCACAGCTCCAGGAAACCGAAGCCCTGGAACCTCAGCATTA